TATATATATACACACATACACATATATGAATACGTATATATATATATATATATATATATATATATATATATATATATATATATGTATATATATTATATATATGTCTGTATGTGTGTGTACTTATGTATGCATGTATGAATGTATGTGTATATGTATGTATGTACATACGCCTGTGTATATATATGCTTGTGAGTGACTGAGTGTCTGCTGACATGGGCGCGGAGCAACAGCGCCACCCAGCTAACCTTTGGCTCCCGCGCAGGTGTGTCGGGGGACGTCAAGGGCGCCGCCAAGAGGAAGAAGGAGGGCGAGGAGGACGCCCCGGCTGGAACGGGCACCGCCGCCGACGCAGAGGGTATGTCGATCGCCTGTCTATCTGTCTGTCTGTCTGTCTCCACTGCGGCCTCATCTGGCACCTTGTAATTTGTGATCGGTACCTTCATCTGTTTTTACTGATCTATCATGTCCTCGTCGCTTCTCTGTTCCCTCTTCAGCTGCCTGGCCCGAGTGACCAGCGCGCTCGTCCTCCCTGCGCGCTGTTGATTGAATGCTAGTGTTCTGCTATCAGTGTTATGCTGACTGTTGTAAAAAAAATACTATTACAATGATGATGATGAGTGCTGTTGTTATTATCACTGTTATTTTTTAAATAATTGTTTATTGTTATTATCATTATTATTATTATTATTATTATTATTATTATTATTATTATTATTAGTTGTGATAGTAGTATTACTATAATAATAATAATAATAATAATAATAATAATAATAATAATAATGATAATGATAATGATAATAATAATAATAATAATAATAATAATGATTATTATTATTAGTAGTAGTAGTAGTAGTAGTATAATTATAATTACTATAATAATAATACCACTACTACTACTACTACTACTACTAATTATTATTATTATTATTATTATTATTATTGTTATTATTATTATTATTATTATTGTTATCATTATTACTATTTTAATTATAATTATTATTATTGTTATTATTATTATAATTATTAATGTTATTATTATTGTTATTTTTATTTTTGTTATTATTATTATTGTTATTGTTGTTGCTGCTATTATTATTATTATTATTATTATCATTATTTTATTATTATTATTATCATTATTTTTTATTATTATTATTATAATTATTATTGGCGTTCTTGCTATCGTTATCATTATAATCGGTATTTATATCACAATTATCAGTATCATCATTTTCATTATTCTTAAAACTATCAGCACCGATAGTCTGGGCATCACCATTGCTGTTATTATCATAATTATCATCATCATCCCCTCTCTTCGCTTCGCTTCCACCCCGTCGCTTGTTTCAGCCGCCTGCCTCAGCGTCGCCCTTGCCTCGGCTCAAAGGGAATTCCCGCTTGTCTGGCCTGACCTCAAGCCCTGGCTATCATTTAGACTGACGCCGCGCTCTTATCGGCTCAAGTCATCTCCCTCTCCCTTTGCCAGTTAATTAAGTCGGCACCTAATGATGTGAATATTTGTGCGGCTTGTGTTTGTCGAGCCCGATCATCAGCTGACTTTTTCATTCTTGTATTTGCTTTCTGATACACGCGCGCACGTGTTTAAGTCTACATGCTAGATAGACATTTGCGCAGAAACTCCTGAAATTTGCTTATCACGGTGGAACTAATGAACGGTACTCTTCCAGTCCTTTTTCCTTTCCTTTTTTCGCCAGGTAGTCTTTCAATTATCTCTTAAGAATCAAGCGACGGTCTATTATCCCTTCACACTCTGGGTAACGCTTAATGAGTGGCCCAGTGGCCGAGTACCGATGCTCGCTGAGTGCGATGCCGGTCATTAGTGACGTGACCTTGAGAAAAACAGCTGTGATTTTATGTTCATTGCCTTCCAAATATTTAATTTTCTTCTTACATTGCTCATGTTCATATATCTTCAATTTATTTGAAGCAAATTGAATATTGTCATCATCTGTTATTCTCAACTGATGATAGAAATAACGATGGTGATCTTAATATAAGGACACTACTAATAACAGTAATCTAATAATGACAAAAATAATGATAATGATAACGATATCGATAATAATGCCTATACTGATAATAATGATAATGATAATTATAGTAATAATGATAATGATAATGATAATTATAGTAATAATGATAATGATAATGATAATTATAGTAATAATGATAATGATAATAAAATTGATGATAATAATGATAATGATAATAAAATTGATGATAATAATAATAATGATTATGAGTATGGTAATGACAATAATGATGATAATAAAAGTTATGATAATAATGTGTAATAATGAGTAATAATCATAATTGTAAATGTAATCATAATAGTGATAATGATAATAATATTAATGATAATGATAATAATGAAAGTAATAGTAATAATGATGATGATAATAATAATAATAACTAGAAAAGCACTCAGAGAGTGCAGACCTCCGCCAAGGTGCGTATATAATGTACTTACACCGCTGCTGCGTCCAGACGGTAATTCGGAATGTCAGTGAAATGCGGTACACGTTTACCGTAGATTTGTGTACTTTATTGATTAATTAATGATAATAATAATAATAACCAGACGGTAATTCGGAATTTTTGAGCTAGGCTGCTAACAAACAAACTAACCAACAAACCAACGCCGTCAAAAACATAACCTCCTTGGCGGAGGTAATAATAACAATAATAATGATAATAATAATAATAATAATAATAATAATGATAATTGTTATTACTATTATTATTAGTGTTGTTGTTATCGTTATCATTATTACTATTATTATTATCATTATTATTATCATTATTGTTATTATTGTTATTATTATTATTATAATTATCATTATTATGATAGTAATAGTTATTATTATCATTATTTTTGTTGTTCTTCTTGTTATTATCATCACTCTTCCTTTTATTTATTAAATCACTTCTCCCGTTAACTTCATCTTTAACATATGTCCTTTAAAGCCAAATTGTCGCCGAGTTGCCATTGCATTTTATTTCTAATTCAAGCAATGGTTACGAAGTGCACCTGGCAAAAGCGAATACTAATATATGTTTTTCTTTTCCTCCTTCCTTCTTCCCTTCATTCTCCTCAACCACCTTTTCTCCAATTACTATATTCCCTGTTTATTTCCTTTTTCTTCTTTCTTATCATCTGTCTCCTCCGTATTTTCTAAAACCGATGATTAATCCTTTCCTTCCTTTTCTTCCCCCTTTCGTATTTCGTCTCTTGACTTGTGCTTTTCTTTGATCTTGCTTTGACTTCATTTCATTCCTTCCTCTTCTTTTTTCTCTCGCGACATTTTCTAAACTGCCCTTCCCCTTTCTCCTCGCTTTGCACTTTTTCCTTTTTCCTTTCCTCCTTCTCAATTCTCTCTTCCCCCTTCAATTCGTCCTTCTTACACATCTTCCGTCTTCTTTTTCTTCTCACATTTTCCATTTTCTTCTTCTTTTTCTTTTTCCTCCTCCTCCTCTTCCTCTTCCTCTTCCTCCTCCTCTTCCTTTTCCTCCTCCTCCTCCTCCTCACCCTCTTCCTCCTCCTCCTCCTCCTCTTCCTTTTCCTCCTCCTCCTCCTCTTCCTTCTTCATTCTCCTTCTTCTTCTTCTTCTTCTTCTTCTTCTTTTTCTTCTCCTTCTTCTTCTTCTTCTTCTTCTTCTTCTTCTTCTTCTTCTTCTCCTCCTCCTCCTCTTCCTCTTCTTCCTCTTCTTCCTCCTCTTCCTCCTCCTTCTCTTCTTCCTTTTCCTCTTCCTCCTCCTTCTCTTCTTCTTCTTCTTCTTCCTCCTCTTTCTCCTCCTCCTCGTCCTCTTCTTCTTCTTCTTCCTCTTCTTCTTCTTCTTCTTCTTCTTCTTCTTCCTCCTCCTCCTCCTCCTCCTCCTCCTCCTCCTCCTCCTCCTCCTCCTCCTCCTCCTCCTCCTCCTCCTCCTCCTCCTCCTCCCCCCCCCCCCCCCTCCTGCTGACCCCCCTCCAGGATCCACAGACCGCAAGAAGAAGAAGGCGAGGACGACCTTCACGGGGCGCCAGATCTTCGAGCTCGAGCGGCAGTTCGAGGTCAAGAAGTACCTGTCATCCTCGGAGCGCGCGGAGATGGCCAAGCTGCTCAACGTCACCGAGACCCAGGTAGGCGAGCTGTCTCCTCTCGTGCGCTTTCAGGTCGAAACCGCGTTTTCAAGGCAGGGAACAGGCGGATTTTATCGTAAATCACTTTCTTATATGTTTCGTCTCTCTCTCTTTCTATCTATCTATCTCTATCGATCTCTATCTCTTTAGAAATATATATATATATATATATATATATATATATATATATATATAAATATATGTAAACATATAAATATATATACACACACACACACACACACACACACACACACACACACACACACACGCGCGCGCGCGCGCGCGCTACATTTTTCCCCCTACAAAACTACTCTTAAATATCTCTGAATGAATGTATGTTTTTTTTTCTACTAAATATCCATGTAAAATAGGGGTGCGCCTTATACGCCAAGAAGAAAAGAAAGGAAGAAAGAAAGAAAAATATATATAATGTATATATATGTATGTATGTATGTATATATGTAGATGTAAATACAGATGTAAGTGTGTGTGTGTGTGTGTGTGTGTGTGTGTGAGTGTGTGTGTGTGTGTGTGTGTGTGTGTGTGTGTGTGTGCATGTGTGTGTGCATGTGTGTGCGTGTCCGTGTCGTGTGTGTGAGTGTGTTTGTATGTATAAATGCTTTTCCATATATATAAACATTACCTGACTGGTCCTTCTCTCCCCCCTACTCCCGTCACTTCTGCCCGCTCCAACTCCTTTTTATGGACAACCGAAAAAAGCTCTCGAGAGAACTAAAATAGGTGTCACCAGACGTTTAATGCTCACCTTAAAACATTTATTGAAGTACACAAACCGAGAGCGAAGCACTGAGTTTAACGGCCTGTGCGCCTCTCCCGAGCTTATTCCCAACAACCAATAA